GGGGGGGGGGGGGGGGGGGGAAGAGATGCTCGATCGTTCGTTGCAGTAATGAGCAGAAGTGGAGGAAATTGGAAATGGCTGAAACAGCCCAATAAGAGTGGGCTTCTATTTTTTCCTGGCCCGATATAGCGGGCTTCCGTTTTTCGGGCCCGATAAGAGTGGGCTTCTTCTGTTTTTTATTTCGGGCCGAATTAAAGAAAAGGATTGAACAAAACTCGGCCCGGTATAAAAGGTACTCCAGATGATTTTACTTTTTATCATATAAATATTTGTTTTTTATTTATAATATATTTTTAGTGCAGTTTGGAATAAAAATGATTCGTTAAACAATTAGATTATATTATAAATAGATATATTTTTATATTTATATTATATCCAAATGATTCGTTAACAATTAAATTATCCCTCACAAAATATATAATGGGAGTTTAGAATTAAAAAAATAAATAAAAATTAAAGTGCAGGGAATAACATTATTTAACAGCCCAAAAAGCCCACTATCCTTTAATTTATTAATTTTCTATACACACGTTTAAAGCACAATCGTGGGGCCCACCATGTAGTGAAGCACACGAGGCCCACTTTACCTGTTTGTTTGGTCGGCCGGTGAGCCATCTTTTCTATGCATGGTCTTTATTTATTCATTTTATAATAAATAAATAAAAAAGTAATTTTAGACTACATTTTTGTTATTATATTTATATGTATTAAATAATATATAACAGTTAAAATTAATTAAACAACAAAAAGGTACTAAAATTGTGTCAAAGTTGCATCGGATTTACAAAATTTGGACCAGTAAAATATTTTAATTTGTATTGATTTGTTTATTTTAATCGACTATGGCTATTTTTTTAGAGATGAAATCTGCATTCAACTATATAGGTGTACTGAATAATTATCCACTGTCGTATAATAGTTTGGAAATTATACAAGAAAAGTAAATCACATTAAACTAACCATATGTGATAAGTTCGACCTAGCGAAGTCTCGAACTTGTCTTTAGGTACTTATCTATTAAAATATTAAAAGAATTACATGTTCATTAATTACTTCCATAATAGTGAGTCCATAATAGTGAGTAGAGGTGGTAAACGAGCTGAGCCGCTCGTGAGCTCACGAGCCGGCTAGCGAACATTATTTTTTATTTATTTTTTGTTTTTATTTATTATTTTTTATTATAATGTATAATAATATAAAATAATATAAAATATTATATAATAACTTAAAAAGAACATATAAATATTAAAATTATATATAATCACAGTTTATTGTTTATTTTGAATATGTTTTATTATAATCTAAATATTTTTTAATAATTAAAATTAATGAAAAACAAAAAAAAAACCAAAATTAGCTTGGGCTCGAGCTCGACGAAATGAATTCGAGCTTGAACTCGAGCCTGCTAAGACATGCGAACTCGGTTCGTTCACGCACTTAATAGTAAGTAACGTGGAGATATTATTGAATATTTATTTTATATTTCACATAATTTTTATACTTAATTTTGTAACTATATAACTAAAAATTAATTATGAAAGTTCTCTGAAATTTCAAAGAAATTAGTTGGATTCCAATTTTCATTTCTTAAAGATGAAAGACCAACCAGGTTTCGCCGGTAGCCCATAACACTAAGTGGGCCCCCAATCTTTTTAAAATAACAAAATAAGCCCCTTTTTCCACCTACTCAAGAATACATACATATATTCTACTTAATAATTAACCCTATAGTCTTCTCAGGTCTTCTGGTTTGCTTTGCAAAAAATATTATAGGAAAGGAGCAGCCAAACAAGGCGCAATGGAAGAAGAGAGAGTGACACTTGATCTTCTCAAGAAGAAAATGGACAATTTTGCAAAGGAGAGAGACTGGGAAAAATTCCACAGCCCCAGAAATCTTCTTCTTGCTCTGGTATTAATTCATCTATTATAAACCCTTTGAACTTCCTTTAATTTTTATTTTTTTTATAATTTTCTGTTTGTATATTTTTTTCTGTTTATTTAAATATTTGGGAATATTAGTTCTTGGGTGAAAAAAAAAAAAAAAAACTAGCTTGTGGGCTGTTTGGCCTTTTGTCTTAAATCCCAAGAAAAGATTTGAACTTTAAAGAGTTTGTCTTGATCTTTTGTTTTGTACAAATTCATTGTCCCTTTTTGGTACCTTTCTACTTGCATAGAAAGAATTTGTACATAGATTGGAGAAGTTTGTGAATTTTCTTGAATGTTTCAATGGCAAACAGAGCCTTGGCACAACTCTCTATTCGAAAAAGATTGCATTTTTATAAATATTCTCCCAAATAAAAAGATTTGAAGGGGCTCGTTTGGTTTGAAGTTGGTGAATTTTCTGAAATGTTTCAATGGCAAACAGGAGCCCTGGCACAACTCTCTATTAAAAAAAAGATTGCATTTTTATAATATCCTCCCAATAAAAAGAATTGGAGGGCTCGTTTGGTTTGAAGTTGGTGAATTTTCTGAAATGTTCAATGGCAAA